GGATAGATTTTAAAGGATGGGCAGAGTTTGGATAAACCATTATGGGAAAGAGGCAGGAAGAAACATTCCAGGACAGATAACCAATACGAGCAAAAAGAAAAAAAAAAAACTTTTTGCTTTTGCTTTGACTTTCTAACCCCCCTTTTTCCCCTCCTCCTCATAAAGGAGAAAAATAGTTTCAAATAGATGAGGGACTGGTACCTCCAATAGTCTCCATGCCACTACCGACCCCTAGTCTCAGGTGGGCCCATTCATGGGCATACGCGCACCTCCACACCCAGGATGCTCACCCAGGTGTGCCAGCACTGCTCCCCCTGGCCCTTCAGTCTATTGAACAACATATCTAAGTCAGCAGTCTCAGCAGCCACCCAAAGAAATTTAGAAAAGATCAAATTGAGACCAAGGAAACCAGAAGAAAGAAAAAGAAGATCAAAGAAAAACATCAATGAAATAGAAAACAGGGCCTAGCTCATGGCCTGGTTATTAAGGCAGCTGGAACCCACTGTGTGGTTCAGGTTCAGAACTGGCAACTTGAGAAACATACCCGGTACATGTGTGTGCTTGCATGCCCAAAATCCTGCCAGGAGGGAGAAGGAAGAAGGGATTCTGTCATCACAGCACAACCAACTCTAAGTTCTTTTTTATTTTTTTTGCATGCCCAAAATGCTGGCAGGAGGGAGAAGGAAGAAGGGATTGTGTCACGACGGCACAACCAACTCTAAGTTCTTTTTTATTTTTTTAAGGGTTTTTTTTTTTTTTTTTTTGGTATAGGGCGGATGAGAGGGAAAGTGACAAATGACCACCCAGGAGGATGGTCATACCACAATCCCTTTTCCTTCATTTTCCTCGTGGAATCTTGGGATCACATGCACCCAGCATGATTTTCAAACCACTGGGTTTGGGACTCGAACCACACAGTCAGCCATGTGGGATTCAGTGCCTTAATTTCCACAACAACCGCTGGTCTGCCAATCTCAACTCTTGCCAGGAGTTTCAGTAACCAAGACAGATGAATGGAACAGAAGAGCAAACACAGAAGCAGAACGGCCACATGTAGAGTCCATTGCTCTTCTACAAAGTATCAAAGGCAATTCAACGGGAAAAAGGCTTCAATAAATGGTGCTGAAACAACTGACATCTTAATGCAATAAACAAATAACTACACAAGTAAGTGAATGAGTCTCAATCTACACCTCGCAACCTATGCAAAAACAACCTCAGAGTGAATCATAAAATCTAACACCATAAAATTTCCAGAAAAAAACATAGGCGAAAATCTTTGTGACTTTAGGATAGGCAAACGTTTCCTGGGTGGACACAAAAAGCACACTCCTTAAAGGAACTGTTTCATACCTTGATTGTGACAGTAGTTACACATCCGTATGTGTTCATTAAAACTCATGAATATGGGCACTAAGATGATGAACTTAAGTATGGAACAAAACACAATTTATCTAAAGCAAAAAAAAAAAAAAGTCTATAAATTACCAGAACTGTTTAATGTAAAGTTTATTAGGGCCTGATCATCTTACCAGTTGCTAAAGGAATGGTATTGTCTGGACTGGAAGGCAGAGGCTTCAGAAAGGTGAAATCAAGAGACCAGTAAGGGTTTTTTAAAATTACTTTTTATTTAATTGTATTCATTGTCATTATTTTATTTTATTTTAAAGTTAACCAGAGAGAGACAGAGAGAGAGAAGCAAAGTGAGAAAGCAAGCTGCCAGGTCCAGGACTTGAACTGCGGTCAGCCATGTGGGAGTCCGGCTGCCTTAACCATCATGCCACCTGCCAGCCCCACCCAAAACCAGTAAGGGTTTTAACCCATCAAAGTAGGAGCTGGGAAAGACCACTGGACAAACACCTGGTTGTGAGAGGCAGAGAGGACAGAAGCACAGACTTGAGATCACACTGTGGGGTTACCACACGCCAACCTTAACTACCACCGACCAGTAACGCAGACGGGGACAGGCTGGCTGCAGCGATGGTGGAGGACTGAAGGAAGACCTGGGGAGAGAAGCCCGACAAACGCATGACTACATCCCAAGCCCAGTATGTTATCATATGTTGGGATGCAATGGTCTGAACATGGAACCAGGAATTGGGATATTTGGGCTCCAGGCTTGGCTCAGCCAGTGGCCAGCTGTGTGACCTGTGAAGCCAGACATCTGACCTGAGGATTTCCGATGATGGGTCTACCCATCTCTCGGTTACATAATGTATGCCCTAAAATGAGTCCGCTGGGGCATATACATTCACATGGTCCTTTAGAGCTTATAAAGCACTCTTAGCACCAACCTTATTCACCTCCCAAGACAGTGTGCAGGGTGTGCTATTTCCCTTTTCCAAAGGAACTGCACCTTGATTACTCTGTAAAATGTCACCTGAGCCCAGCATCCTTTCGGTGATCCCAAAGCAAGGTATGAGGCAGCCCTTACACTCTCTACGACCAGGCTCCAGAGGGATGATCCACTAGGGGAAAGGCCTTGGCCAAGCCAAGGTTGGACAGAAAAGCTCATTCCTGGAGAAAGTTATGGTGAAAATGCTCCAGGTGTCAAACTCTTCTCTATATCTCAGCCATTGCTTATGGAAGCCCTACTTCCAGTTCATGGGTTTTTAAATATTTGTGGTGTGTGATGGTACGCTGAATCAGGGCCCCCCAAAGCTGTCTTTGTCCCAATCGCAAAAGTTGTGAATACATTACCCCTCAAGACAAAGGGGATCTCATAGATGGGATAAAGTGAAGAATCTCGAGATGGGAGATGATCTTGTATTACCCTGATAGGCCCAATGTAATCACAGGGGTCACTAAAACAGGGAGCCGGAGAGCCAGAGTTGAAGGAAGGTGTGAGGAGAAGCAAAGAACCACATTGCCCAGTGGTTAACGGAGCTGGATCTTCTCATGGCCAATTGCATGGTTCAAATCCTGGCCCTGGAGACTTGAAAAACATTTTTGGCATGAGTACTTATGTGTTCCAAATCCCAACAGGATAAAGAAATGGAGGAAAAGAGGAGAAATAGAAGAGAAGGGGTGGTAGTTGACCACAGGAATGCTTTCTCCCTCTCCCTTTTTCTTTTACTCTGGTAAGTGCATGTGCCCTCTGTAGCACTCTGGTGAGTGTGTGTGCCCTCTGGGGGGAAAAAAAAAGTAAGAGGAAGAAGAAAAAGAAAGAAAAGGTTTCTGGGCTAGCAAGGTGTGAAGGTTAAGGTGGCTGGATCCCATATGGCCAACTATGTGGTTCAAGTCCCAGGCTCAGCACCTTGAGGAACACACTGAACATGTGTGCATGCATGTCCCAAATCCTGAGACCAGAAGGGATCGTGGGGTGGCCATCTCCCGGGGGGTGATTTCTCACTTTTCCTCCCTCTCTCCGGCAAACACAAGAGCCCTATAACAAAAACTGAAGAAGAAGAAGAAGAAGAAGAAGAAGAAGAAGAAGAAGAAGAAGAAGAAAAAGAAGAAGAAGAAGAAGAAGAAGAAGAAGAAGAAGAAGAAGAAGAAGAAGAAGAAGAAGAAGAAGAAGAAGAAGAAGAAGAAAAAGAAGAAGAAGAAAAAGAAGAAGAAGAAGAAGAAGAAGAAGAAGAAGAAGAAGAAGAAGAAGAGGAGGAGGAAAAAGAAACAGCAACAGCAAAGGTGAGAGTGACAATTTGAAATTGGAGGAAGGGACTGCAAACCCAGGAAGACAGGCAGCCCCTAGGAGCTGGGAAAGGCGGGGTGTTGGTACTGCCCCCAAACTCTAGAAGCCATGCAGCACTGCAGATGCCTTGATTTCAGATTTGTGACCTCCAGTCCTGTAAGAGAACTCATCTACGTTGTTTAAGCCGTTAAATTTGAGGTGATTTATTACAGTAGCCATCGGGAACAAATATGGTAGGGAAGGACACTGACATTGGAATTAGGTATATTCGGAATTTTTTAAAGGTTTTTGCCATAGGGCACGTGTGTTCACTGGAGAAAGAAACAGACAGAGACAGAGAGAGGGAAAGTGAGAAATCCCCCTCCAGGGGGAATGGCCATACCACAACCCCTTCTCCTCCATGCTCCTTGTGGGACTTTGGGCACATATGCACACACACCCAGTGTGAATTTCAAGCCACCAGGTCCAGGGCTCAAACAGCAGTTAGCCATGTGGAAGTCCAGTTCTTTAACCACCACACCACCTGTTGGCTCCATATTCAGAAAATTTAAGGGCAACAATTCTTTTAATCATTTTCTCATATTTAAAACAAAGCAAAATGTACACACACACCCCTCTGTCTATTGCGTAGTCAGTATAGTCCATCCGTCTTATAACAAAAAGATAATAATTTTGCTGGGTTTAGCAGATACTGCTTAACACAAAGAAATCATTATACCTTTCACCCAAGAACCTTAAATAAATTGGGAGCAAAGGCTTCCTTTTTTTTTTTTAATTTTTGGAGAGATTTTTGCTACAGGGCACGTGTGCTTGCCAGACAGACAGAGAGAGACAGAGAGACAGAAAGCGAGAAATCACCCCCCAGGGGGGATGGCCACGCCACAATCCCTTCTCCTCCATTCTCCTCTTGGTATCTTGGGCACGCACGCACATGCGCCCAGCGTGAGTTTTAAGCCGGGTCCAGGACGTGAACCGCGGTCGACTACGTGGGAGTCCAGCAACATAGCCATTACGTTAACTGTTGGTCCTGCTTAGACTTCCTTTTTACCCAGAACTGTGCTGACGCAAACAAATGGCTGGCGGTAACTTTCATTAATGCAAATGGCATGCCCTAGAAGACACTGAATTGAAAAAAATGATTTGAAATTCCGTCAGAAGTGTGGATGGCTACATCCATGATTTTCTGCTTCAGTTTTAAATTTGCTTCTCAGGTTCAGACTTCTGATACAGAAAAATCCACTTGGGTCTCTGAAAACAAGGATTGAGGTCTATCTCAGGGATTAACAAAAAGGTGAATGGAAATAAAACTTCGTTGTTATTTTGCAAATGTGTATGTCCTTTGATTTACCCTGCTCCAGCTTTGAGAATGATCTGCTGCTCTGCGCAGGAGCATGGGTTTAGAGGTGAGTCCCTTATGTGTTAACAGACAGTGACATCATCTGGAAGCCGGAAATGGCTCTCGGGTTACCGTATAAATTGACTTAAGCTTTGGAGGGGATTACAGGGCGGACCTCTGCTAAGTGTGGAGATGCCTTCACAGCTAAATCAAAGGTAACCATGACGTCTGGCAGGCACCTGTCAACAGGTAAGGGAAGGAGAGCCTGCGAAGGAGCCTTGAGTCAGGATTACATTCTCCAAGCTTATTTTGATTTCAGGTTAAAGGGTCAGACCGAGAAGCTACCCGCAGTGGTCTTTATTTATGGTTCTCAGAGGCCCGGCTGGTAACACGTCAGGAGGAAGAGGGATGGCTTGGGTGGGAGTCCTGTCTCCTGGCCTGGCCGATGACAGACGGAGGGCTGCGAGTTTTGTGAAAGCCCAGCTTTTTATAAATGTGCATTAATGTTTGCAGGTACAACATGAAAACTCACCCTCTCTGCTTTCTGCCCTGCGGGGAGAGGTGTGTATTTCCCAGCCCGCCTTACTTCTCGGCCACCTGAAATGACTTGTTTCCACCACCTGTCGTGGGCCTTTGAAGGACAGGACAGGAGGTACATGATTCCCTGCCTTGCAGGCTCAGGCTGGGCTAGGGGAGATTTTCACACACCATCAGTCAGCTAATCCCCAGGAAGGCATTACCCACCAGCTGGAATACAGGATACTTGCTCCAAAAGACTTTCCACTCAGTCTGGTGGCTCTTGAGCATGAGAGCCTTTAGCACCCAACACAACCAAGTTGTCATAGCTGGAAGAGATGTTTGGAACAGTGAATAGAACCTGGAATCCAGGCGAGAAATTTTCACCACCCCAAAAAGAAACAAACCATACCCGTTCCTCCCCACCCACCCCCGTCACTAATCCCCTCAGCAACACTAACCCAGTTTCACTTTCTAGGGATTTGCCTGTTCTGGAATTACATTTAAGTGGAATCCTACTATATGCGCTCTGTTGTGCATGGCTTCTTTCTTTCTTTCTTTCTTTTTTTTTTTTGGAGAGGTTTTTGCTACATGAGAGTCCAGCAACATAGCCATTATGCCAATTGCTGGTCCTGTCATTACCATTTTTCAGGGTTTACAGAGAAGCCAGGCACACAGGAAATTTATTTAAGTGCCTCGACTGTCAACCCCACATTGAGGAGGGAAATTACCCAGATCCTGTCCCTTTTTTTTCATGTTTTTGCTACAGGGCATTTGCATCACCAGAGAGAAAGAAAGTGAGAAATCACAGGAACCAGCAGTTAGCGTAATGGCTATGTCGCTGGACTCCCACGTGGTCGACCACGGTTCGCGGCCCGGACCCGGTGGCTTGAAAACTCATGCCGGGCGTGTGTGCGTGCGTGCCCAAGATCCCGAGAGGAGAGTGGAGGATAAGGGATTGCAGCGTGACCATTCCCCCTGGAGGGGGGTGATTTCTTGCTTTCTGTCTCTCTGTCTCTCTCTGTCTTTCTGGCAA